ATTTATCACAAATTCTTCTTCTTCTTCTTCTACTTCTTCTTCGGAATCCTCCATAAATTGACTTGTTTGCACAGGCTGCAATTGCACTGGTTGAATATTGTCCAGCACAAAGTGTTCCACCTCCCCCGCCTCTGACGGTTCAATGATTTCACCACTGTCGGTAAACCTTGCCGATTCCGTTGCTTTGAGTTTGTCATAATCTTCGTGGTCACTGTCCAAAAAGTCAAAATTGACACTCTGTTCTTGCACCGTAAAATCAAAGGTCCCACCAGTAAACAATTGCTGGCCATTGATGGTGGTCATATTTTGTTGTTGTTGTTGATGATGTTGTTGGTATTGTGTCCAAGCACCACAGGTTCGGTTTCCCTCAGCTATACTGCCGATAACACTCACAGTTCAAACCTCAACGATGAGACTCTCGTTGGTTGGTGATGGTGGCATATTATTTCTTCTTAAAATGACTGATGATGAACCCCTTTTGTGAACTCCCCCAAAGTAAGTCAAAGTCAATTTTTTGAATAGCAGTCCCAGGAAGTTTCTTCGTCCACCAGCTGCAAACAAAGTATCCCCATAGAAGTGGGAGTTGCACTACAATTCTATTGAGACTACAACCGTAAGTTTTTGAATGCTAGTTGCGTTGGAATGCATATCGTTTTGCTTCTTGTTGTTGCAGCAGCACTGTTACGATGTAGGTCAGCCAGTAACTAGAGACCCGAACATGAAGGAGCAGAACCTATATATAGTACCTTCACCAAAACTTCTAGCCGGCAGTTGCCTGGTAGAATTCCAAAGACATGTAGAACTTTATATAGGACTTGAATGATAGAATCCAATGACGATAGTTTCTAGTTTACAGTGACGCAAATTGTTGGCGTCCCTCAGCAATAGAGCAATTACCAATGCACCACTGGGATACAGTCATAGTGGTGAAGGTGTTTGCAGGAGCTTGGGGGAGCCAGTTTTCTATAGTTGTGTTTGCGCAAGTCGAATGATGGCCTAGTGGCCAGGCCTTGGAACCTCTCATATGATTTTTCCAGAGTATCAAAGAGTAAAAGGCGCACGAACCGCCTCTTTCGTTTCATCCTTTTTTTTCGTTCCCCAATGTTTATGTAGCAAATCCCCACGAAGTGTATGAATGTAAAGAGTTTACACGCAAGTGTA